CTCAATAAAGAAACCCTCAGTCTTTTGTTTGGTGCTGCAGTCAAAGTAGGACCAGGAGCAGAAAGACTGGGATTCAGATTTTGGGAATAAACTATGATACTCTTGTCTGCTTTGGGGGCTGAGAAATAGAGAAACATGATTGCTACACACTTCATACTTCTGCTGTTCTTCCTCCCTGAATTTTAAACAATTAGTTGCCTCAGTTCAGCATGTCCATTTCCTCTCATTACATTTAAACAAGCTTGATGAAGCCACCCTTTCCCTCCCTCAATTCAAGGCTTCTGTCCTTCTTGCATGTTCCTTTTTTCAGTTTTGAGTCAGTCTCTCTCTCACACACACATACACCCACACACAGCCACTCACCCTTCCTCACTCACTCAGTTTTGTACATACATTTAAACAAGCTGATGAAGCCACCCCGTCACTCTCTCGCACCTTCCTTCCCTCCTTAACTGGAGCTTTCCCTCTTCCTGCTTGCAGTCACCTCCGGCGGAAGTAGTCATTCACAAGCCGGATTGACTGCCCGGGGCTGTTCTACATCTGTAACCAATCAAGCAGCCTTATCTCCGATCTCTAAAAGAATGGAGGATTTACAAGTGCTGCAACCAAGGAAAGAGGGAGAGGTGACTTCCAGTTTGAGGTTTGGCTGCAGGGGGTGGGAGTAGCACTCTGCTCATTACCCCCAGGATTTTCATTTTTACCCCATTTGGGGTAATTTACCCCTGTTCCCTGACCACTGATTTAAAAAATACTTTAAGAAGGATTGCGTGTTAGAAAGTTCAAATTAAGCCCAGTAAAATCAGTCATATTTAGGAGAATAAAATGTTTTATAAAATTCTTTTTCAAAAGAATGGGATGCTTTTCTAATTATTCAGGTACATCTTACAGCAGACATATTTTACTACATACAAATCTATTAAGTGAAAGACTGAAGCAAAAAGTGTTTAATGAAAATAGTATAGTAGTTCTTCCAAATTCATACTATCATATTAATGGCTGAAAAAAGCAAAAGAAGTGTAGGAAGTATTAGTCTTTCAGATTTTTTTTAAAAAAACTTTTACAAAGTAATATAAAGAGAGTATTTCAGTGACCAAAACATAATATGAAAACTGAAATAATATAATAAAAAAGCACAGGTAACTGTATCTCAGTGACCTATCTAAAGTACAGTCCTTTACACTTACATGCCTACTTGGAAATATGTTTCAGTGAGGGAACTCATTTGGACATACAGTTGCATTGTCAATACTTTTTGTATTTTCATGAGTAGAGAATTCAGGATAAAATTATTACAGTCATTCAGTCCCTTGTCTACGTATATTTATTTATATATTTATTTGATTTATACCCCGCCTATCTGGACTACTCGTCCACTCTAGGCGGCTTACAATATAGGATAAAACAATAAACTCAAGAATGTGCATAGTCGTTCAATAACAACTGCAATAAAGTAGAAGAAAAAAAATAAAGGAAAATAGAAAGAAATCAGGTATTGACTGGAGGGAAGGCCTGGATGTATAACCATGTTTTTAATTGGGCTTTAAAGATTCCCAGCGTAGGTGCGGTGTGAATCTCCGGAGGGAGGTTGTTCCATAGGCGAGGAGCCACTGCCGAGAAGGCCCAGTTTCGTGTCTTCTCCTTCTGGGCCTCTCTTGGCATCAGGCTCCTCAGCCTCACCTCCTGACTCGCGTGGGTGATCTGGGTAGACTTTGGTGGGAGCAGGTGTTCCGCCAAATATCGAGGTCCTAAACCATTTAGGGCCTTATAAGTAAGCATTAAGACTTTGAAGTTGACACGGAAACGAATGGGCAGTCAATGCAGTGCGGCCAGAGTTGGAGAAATGTGTTGATATTTTCTCACTCCAGTAAGGAGTCTGGCCGCCGCATTCTGTACCACCTGAAGTTTCCACATCAGCCTCAAAGGCAGCCCCACGTAGAGCGTGTTACAGTGGTCTAATCTTGAGATTACGAGCGCATGCACCAAGGTAGTGAATGCCCCCGTGTCTAGATAGGGCCACAGCCGGGCAATCCGCCATAGGTGGAAAAAGGACTACCGACACCACCTGCTTTTCCATGGTGAGTGTCGGGTCCAAATATATGCCCAAGCTGCGGACCCCACTCTTCGTTAGAGAGTCACCCAAGCCGCCAGCCACGGGGCCTCCCACCCTCAGAACTTCCATCTTGTCCGGGTTGAGCCTCAGCCTATTCTCCTGCATCCATTGCAGTACGGCCCCCAGGCAGCGCTGAAGGGACAGAACGGCATCACCTGCAGTTGGTGAAAAGGAGATATAGAGTTGGGTGTCATCAGCATATTAATGACACGATGCCCCACATCCCCTTATGACCCCTCCTAGCGGTCTCATATAGATATTAAACAGCATTGGGGAGATAATCGACCCCTGTGGAACCCCACAATTGAGACTCCATGGGGCCGAGACACTCTCCCCAAGCTGCACTCTCTGGGGACAGCCCCCCAAGAAGGAACGGAGGCAGGCAAATGCCGAGCCACCAATTCCCAACTCAGAGAGCCTCCCCAGGAGGATACCATGGTCAACAGTATCAAAGGCTGGCGAGATGTCAAGGAGGACCAACAGAGACATTTTACCCCTGTCAGCCTCCCTCAACAGGTCATCATACAGGGTGACCAATGCTGTCTCTACCGTGGCGCAGCCTGAAGCCCAGCTGAAATGGATCCAGTGCATCTGTTTCATCCAAGTGGGCCTGAAGCTGATCAGCCACCACCCTCTCAACCACTTTACTCATGAAAGAAACATTGGCAATGGGCTTATAATTGCCAATTTCGTCCACCGCCATATTCAGTTGCTTTCTTATGGGCCTAATGAGTGTCTCCTTGAGGGCAGATGGAAATCTTCCCTCAAGGAAAGACCCATTTATTATTGCTGTGGCCCATTCTGTTATCGGCCAGGCTGCTTTGATTAGCCAGGCTGGGCGAGGGTCAAGGGAGGAGGTGGTGGCCTGGCAGCGATCAAGCATCTTGTCCACAGTGCCAGGCGTCACAGGCTGAAAAGAATCAAAGGTAACCGGGCAAGGCGGAGCGCTGGACTCACTGTATTCAAAAAAGGAGAGAGCTCCCGGCGGATGGCCTCCACTTTAGATTTAAAACAGGCTGCAAACTGGTCAGGTGAAAAACTAGGGGGAGGCCAGAACAACTTCCTGATAGGTCGTGCACTATACGGAATAGCTCCGCCTGCTGATTTGAAGCGTCACTTATCTGGTTAGCGAAGAAAGATCGACATGCAGCCTTTAGTTAGGTAAAGGTTAGTTGCAGCCCTAACAGCTATCCAATTATAATCCGTCGAGTTCTTCCTCCACCTACGCTCTAGCCTTCTCCTCATTCGCTTCATTGTTCGAAGCTCCTGGTTAAACCAGGGCGCAGGCCGAGCTCTGCGCTGTAGAGGGCGTTTAGGCGCGATCATGTCTATAGCTCTGGGGGCAGCGATGGACCAGGTGTCAACCAGAGCCTCGACAGGAGCGCCAGCCAGGTCAGCTGTAACACCTCTCATGGCATCCTGGAATCCAACAGGATCCAGTAGCCTTCAAGGGCGGACCATAGAAATAGGTCCCTGCTCTCTGCGAGGGGGAAGTGCCACTGAGAGGTTACATTTTATTAGGTGGTGATCTGACCATGACAAGGGGACCGACACAAGGTCAGTCACCATCAGTTCACACTCGCTCCAATTGGTGGAAAAGACAAGGTCCAACGTGTGGCCACCCACATATATGAGGGTGAAAGTGTAGATGTGGTGTTTTGGAGTATCAAGATGATAGATTCACTGTGTTCTGAACTAGATGTATTTTTGAAATTGTCAGGGGCAGCCCGTGAACCTTATATCATGACAGTACAGTTAAAAAAATGATTGATGATCATGAAAAGTTTCTGTTCTTTGAGTCTTAGTGCTTTGTTCGTGTCCTGGTATTTTCTGAGATCATAGTCTTTTCCCTTTTAACTGCCTCATACAGTTAATTTCTTCCAGTTTTGACCTTGGGCAACTGTCCTTTATAGTTCTGCTATTTGACATTGAAGCAGAAAATTCTTGATGATTAATAAATTATTATGCAGAAGGGCCTGGGTGCTCTGATTTTGGTATCAGCTGATAAGACAAAAAGACTGCCTTTTATAATTTTGACAATAATGCAGTATGAATCTGTTGTTAAAAATGGATTATGAAACTGAACTGATAAAACAGTCTGCCTTGTACCTCATATTTAGATACAGTGTATTGTGTTCCTGGGTCTTTGGATGTTGTCATGTTTAAAAGATAATATTACATTAGTATTAACATTCAAGTGACATATCTGTTTATACACTACTATAAATTTTCATATGCAACAATAGATAATATTTTTAATAATGGGGTATAATGAGCTTTGAGTTCATGTTCTTCTTTTCCTTCACCTTTTCTGTGCAAGAGGAAAAGATAAGAAGCCTTTCTACTAGTTTGCAAGAGACTACAATTCCAGATGCAGAAAACTATTTGTTTAAACTAGTTAATTCTGAACTGAAGATTCAGTTTGTTGTTTAAAAATGAATTGGGATATTCTGTTATGTTGCATCAAGTATAACAGCATCTACTTGATAACATGTATTCATTTGTACTTTCATCAGTGCATACTTTCCCAGATCCCAGCCAAGCCAGCTATGATCTTGTAATGTGGCTAGAAATTTCTAACAGCTGTCTACAGCTTCACAACTAATCTGTTGTTTGGGGAAAGCTGCTATGTTCCAACTTGTTTGAATTTATGCCCTTGAAATGTTTCATTCACTCCACGAAGTTGGTTATTTTGGTTCAAATTTGTGGTCTGATGCTTTACACACACGAAATTCAGACTGTTAACTTCTGCAAAAATGTAGATATATACACCTGATTCTGCAAAAAAAAAAATTGGAAATGTGTATGTACGTCAACTGTAAGTGAGGATGGATAAAACTACACAATGTACAGTAGTTGTCAGTGTTACATTGATCTATATTTGTTACAGATATGCAAGCCTCTATTTCTGCTGTGCCATTGAAGATCAGGATAATGAGCTAATAACCCTGGAAATAATTCATCGTTATGTTGAACTGCTTGATAAGTATTTTGGAAGTGTAAGTTATTAACTGTTATTTTAAAGTTTTCTAAATCCCTTGAGTTGAATTTAGTATAGCACCTGGAAATGTTCCCCTGGCACTTAAAAAAGGGAGTGAGACAGTTATTTTTGAAGCTTCTTCCTTTCCCCAGCATTCCCCTGAAAAGCTGTTCAAAGGGGTGGGTTCCATCAGAAAGTGGGTGAGATGTGCCAGTCAGGGGTACATGGGGAAGGAAGAATTTCTTTTTAGTGGGGTGCCATAACTGGATCCTGATACCCTTCATGAATGGGAAAGCCTTTGTATGTATGAATATATAAAAATGGCTTGAATCCTGTTGACAGTTATATCTGCATAAGTGAAATTGTGTCAGGTGTGAATCAGCACCTTGTTACTTAATGTGAATTTACTTCATTATTTATGTGCTTTCACTCATGCAGGTGGAAACCACTAATAGGATTCTATTCAGCATATTGAGTGAAAGGTTTTATAATGTGTATGGGTGCCTACATACCTGGAAAAAAATCTGTTCAACTTGCATGTATGCACTGTTCCCAGTCTTAAATTATTCTGTACACAGAGAAGTGTAAAATAGAGTAATGAATACTCTGGTTTACTAGGGATTTTGTTTTTGTTTTAGAACATTCATGGCAGAGTCTGCTAGCTAAAGTGAACATCATGAGTCAGAGTAAAATCATTTTTATGCTGTGTTATGCTGGCCATTTACTTACTGGGAATTATAGTGATTGAAACAATAGGCCTTTATTTTGTTCTTTTTTAAAAAAGGTCTTGGCAATCTAAACAAGGTTGCTGAATCTCAACTATTTATCTCTTTTTTTTTTTTAGGTATGTGAACTTGATACCATTTTCAATTTTGAGAAGGCTTACTTTATTTTGGATGAGTTTCTCTTGGGAGGAGAAGTTCAGGAGACTTCCAAGAAAAATGTTCTTAAAGCCATTGAACAGGCAGATCTATTACAGGAGGTAAACAAACTTCATTTATTTGGTAATGCACATCAGCATGCTGTGCCCTTCTCTAAGAAAAGCTTTTATATTTTCAAAGCTGTAGAAAAAGCTTTTCAGCATGTCCAGCATGAAGTTTTTTCTTTATATTCTTCTTTTGCTACATCTCACTTTGCTCAGTGTGTAGCCTATGCAGAGCAACAGTACTGCCTTTCTTTTTTTTAAGGGTTACTTTCATAGCTTGTTTGGTCTACGTATTACTAGCCATGGAACTACTACTCTCTTCACATTTCTGTTGTTGATTAGGTACTTCTGTGTTTTTATTTGGTAAAATTTATATCCATTTCTTTTTATTAAATTAACTGAATGATGATCGCTAATTTTTGTCATACCTGATGTATGTGTGCCTCTTTACTGTTTCATTGCTGAAATCCAGAAGCTAGACTCTCTTCTTTGAGACACTTGCAGGTATAGTTAACATTAACTGTTTTAAAAACAAGTCAGAATGCTATATTTAGATGTGCACTGTGTTCTTAGAAAATAGTTAGCACTAGTCTTAGAATTATAGAAAATAGAATAAATTTGCAGTTAAATCTTACCTCTCATCTGCTAACAAAATGCTTAAATATTAGACTTCTGTGCTGACTTTAGTCCAGTGGTATAAAATTCAATTGGAGAAGATTTCAAAAAGATAGCCATGTTAGTTTGTTTCAACATGTATGACAAAAATAAAAGCAATGCTACCATTCTCTTGTTTTTATTTCTGTTATACATGATTTAGATGTATGAACTTGGTTGAGAACTGTATTTGAAATGTTATATTTACTGGTATTAGTTGTTTTAGGGGCTTATGTTCCTGCCTATATCCCTGAAGGGAAACTCAAGATGATAATCATAAAATAATGGTCTCCAAACAATATCTTTGTCTACAAGGTCTCAATATTCTATTTTGTGTATGATCTTGCGGTGGGATAGAACTGATAATATAGGTTTTTCAAGCTTTGGCCCTCACTTTAACATGTTTGCAGGCAGAGTCAGTTTTAAAACATTTCTTTGTGGGACCTAAAATAAAGATGTACAATCACTGTAGACCAAAACATTTGATTTTTTAATAGACTTCATGTGGATTGTGGTCTAAAAATGTGTACTGGTTTGATCTGCTACGTATATATACTGTTTGTCTGTCCTACATTTCTTGTGTACCATCTGCTAGTGAAATTTTTAAGTTAGAAATATGCATATTGTGGCTGCTTGAGTGGCTATCCAAACATGCATTAACTGACATGCTACATTCCTCTTCCGTTTGGAAGCCTTGAGAATATTCCTCATAAAAATGTCAGTGCAAATAATACAGCTAACATCCTGGAGAGAGCATTTACCTAGTTGAAAGCTTTTGATTTGGAGAGTGATAATATGGCAGTTAGCGAGCAATCTCTATAGGGCCTAGGATCATCACGCGCCCCCCAAAGATATGCTGGCAGCCCAAAGAGTGGGTCTAAAGCTGAGGGGTGTGGCTGAAGAGGATAACTCAATTGTTTAATATTTTCATTTGCCTGTTTCCTTTTTTAATTATTATTAAAACATTTTTAAAAAGCAGTGGTTATATACTACAGTGGTGCCCCGCATGACGACGATAATCCGTTCCAGCAAAATCACTGTAAAGCGAAATCGTCGTCATGAGAAAGTAAAAAGCCCATTGGAATGCATTAAAAATCTGTTAATTCGTTCCAGTGGGGGAAATAACTGCTCGTTTTGCGAAGATCCTCCATAGGGGAAGCCATTTTCGATTGCTGTCTTCCGGAAATAGGTCCGAAAAACAGCGGGGAGCCATTTTGAAAACCCGACAATCAGCTGTTTCTCATCATCGTGCAGCGAAAAAACAGTTCCAGAAGCAAGGAACTAGTCATCGTTAAGGAAAAAAAAACCCATAGAAACATTGTTTTGAGATCGCGATAGCGATCGTAAAAAAATCGTTAAGCGACTTCGTCGTGAAGCAGGGTCGTCGTCAAGCAGGGCACCACTGTATACATATTACTATAATGGTTTTTTCTCAATTAAAACATGGGTTTAACTTAAAGTTTTATTAAAGCCAAAAAGATCATTGTGCCCAAAAATATTTTTTACAAAGTGATAAAAATATCTGAGTGAGGATGGGGTTCTCCAGACGAAGGAGAACTGAACCAGAACATCGCAAAATTGTCTCCATATCCCACAGAAAACACAAGGAGATTTTTGACACATTTTAAAAAAGAAATAAAACAAGTAGGATGCTGGGCAGTGTAAAATGGCTCTTGGTGAGCAATATATGTCCTGCTTTTTTGCCCACCACTGGTATAGCAGTTCTGAATTTAAGTTCAATATCTATTTATCTTCCTCCTTCCCTCCCTCCCTCCCTCCTTTCCTTCAATAAATTAAATATCTCACTAATACCCTGATTTGCTTATGTTACATGACAACTATTGAGAAAAAAGTGGTGAGGAAAATGGCAAAAGGGGCAATTATCAAACAACATGTTGCCATTCAAGTGAGTGTGTTTCCATGACATGTGATACCATTGCATTCCTAACATAAAAAGTGTAATCTCTTTGTGATTTAGTAACGAGAGTTTCGGGGGTGGGGGTGGGCGAATGAAGCTCTGAATAATTTTCTTTAAACATACACACCAAATCAAAGCAATAACTTAGTTTGCTAAGAAAAGCAGAGCCAGTTATTCTGTGGAGTCTAAAGGGAGGACCCCTCCCATCCTATGTTACTTTAATGCTCCTTTGGTGGCTATATGCAGAGAGGCTTTACAATGGACCCATCCTTACCAATATTTGACCCTCTCTTCCATTTTTTGGAACTTAACATTTATGTTCTGTTTGTGGCAGTGAACATTTCTTCTTTCTTCTGCAACTGCCAAATCTACAAGAAAGCAATATATGTTATTGCTCAGGGCTAAAGATGCTTCAGTCTGTACATTTTGAGAACAGTGGCTATTAAGCAGCTGTCTGCTTACAGACTTTTCTGTTTTCATTAACCCTCCCTATTCACATGAATTTTTTATTATGATCTGTAGAATTTTTACTGTAGCAAAGAATGTGTGTGCATTAGTATCACTATATTTATTTATTACATTTATAGCCCGCCCTTTTAGTCATATAGAGTCTGGGCGGGTAACAACATATCATGTAACAATTTACAGTTTAAAACTGAACAATATATTACTAAGAAACACAATGATCCAATATGGCTTCAATTAAGTAATAAAATGCAACTCTCTGATAAATTTTCTGAAGTGCTTATAGAGCCCAGTAGATTTCATTACTTCAACACTATTTTTTTTAAAAGTAGTCTGAAGTCATTTGGTCCATAACATTTTATTTCTCAAGTCCTGTGGCAACTTTAATAGGAAGTGATTACCTAATTGTTCAACAGCACAAGAATGCAGTATAGAGGGCCCTCGACCTACGGAATTAATCCGTATTGGAATGGTGTCTGTAGGTCGAAAAGTCCGTAAGCTGAATATGCATTTCCCATAGGAATGCATTGAAAACCATTTAATCTGTAACCGGCCCAAGAAAACACCCCCCCCACACACACACACATACAAAAAAATGAAAATACTGTACTGCAAATAGACCTTACCTTTCCAGAGCCTTCCAGGGGTCCCCCGCCACCGTCATCGCCGTTGCCCGAGGCCTCTCGGAGGTACCCCGCCGCTGCCACAGGCTTTCCCAGGGTGGATTGGGCCTACCAGGGGAGGGCTTCCCCCAGTAGGCCTGGTCTACTGCCCGGGAAACCCTGGTGGACTCGGCCTACCAGGGGAGGGCTTCCCCCAGTAGGCCTGGTCTACTGCCCGGGAAACCCTGGTGGACTCGGCCTACCAGGGGAGGGCTTCCCCCAGTAGGCCCACCGATAGTGCTTCGGAGGCACTATTGGCGGTGGGGGGGATCTCCGAGATGCCTCCCATGGCGGCGGAGAAGCCCTGGAAGGCATCTGGAGGCATATCCACGGCCTACAGACTGGAAGGGGGAGGCGGGGAAAGCACCAAATTTGAATTTGGTGCTTTTCCTGCCTCCCCCTTCTGGTCCGTAGGTCGATTCTCCGACCACATCGATTGGAAATCTTGCGGCCAGAGAAATCCGTACCTCGAAAAGTATGCACGTCGAGACATGTGTACGTCAAGGGTCCACTGTATGCAGAAACTGTGGTTGTTATCTTACTTCCCAGAATTTGTCACTTTTTCATTATATACAGTGGTGCCTTGCTTAACGGGCGCTCTGTTTTACGACGAAATCGCATAACGACAAACATCGATTGGAAATCTTGCGGCCAGAGAAATCCGTACCTCGAAAAGTATGCACGTCGAGACATGTGTACGTCAAGGGTCCACTGTATGCAGAAACTGTGGTTGTTATCTTACTTCCCAGAATTTGTCACTTTTTCATTATATACAGTGGTGCCTTGCTTAACGGGCGCTCTGTTTTACGACGAAATCGCATAACGACAATGTTTCCTATGGGGGAATTTCGCTTTGCGATGATCAGTTCCCTGCTTCGGGAACTGATTCTTCACAAAACAATGATTTTCCAACAGCTGATCGGCGGTTTCAGAATGGCCGCCGGATAAACAAAATGGCCCCTGCTGTTTTCTGGGACGGATTCCTTGCTGCACAGGCAGCAAAAATGGCTGCCCTATGGAGGATCTTCGCTGGACGGTGAGTTTCCAGCCCATCGGAAGGCATTAAATGGGCTTTAATGCGTTTCTATGGGCTTTTTAATTTCGCTTTACGATGTTTTCGCTCTACAGTGATTTCACTGGAACGAATTAACATTGTAAAGCGAGGCACCTCTGTACAATTTTATAGTGGATTCATTTATTCATCGGTAACCAGGTACCAAATAGTGGTTTCCAGATCACTTGGCCTGCCCTGCTGTGCCTTGTCATCTGTTCTAGCCAGAAACGCGATAGGAAGATAGCAGCTATGGCTACCTGAAGCTAAGGTGCTCGTGGGTGCCTCAGAGCAGCCCAAGAAATTC